TCAGAAATATTTTTTTTAAGTGCACAGCTTGTTCATTTTGCTTTCCTTACTTCAGTTCAAGTACAGTGTCCTGGGTCACACCAGAAGCTTGTTTAAGATATGGGAGGTCATACCAAGGATTTAAGTACCATGTGAAAGAAGATTTCTCCTTCCTTCGCCCCAAAGTCACCATGTAAATTATGCTGCTTCATGAAAGCTGTCTTCCAGGCAAATTGACACACCATGGCATTTAATCTATTTCATGCCAGTTCAGACTTTTATTTGATACTAACCTGGATTCTGAACAAATAAACCATCTAGAATTGCTTTAGCAAACGAGATGAATAAGGTCTTAAAACCCAAAGAAAATGCAACCACCTGTATTTCATTTCATATGCTTCACTACTGATCAGACTGCTAATCTACATAATGTCCTATTGCAGTCAAATATTATAAGCTACACCAAAACACTGTTAAAGCTTTTCCGTTCCACTACATTATATAGCGACAAAGATAATTTTGAAATCAAAACCTTTACCTTCAATCCCAAGAACATTTTGTTTCTTGCTTTCTTCTGATACTTCAAACTTCTGTATGATGTCAAGACAATATTCTGGTGTCACATTATTCATCTGCACAAAAAACAACAGCATTGGTGTACTTACTTTAAATACCATATCACCAGCATGCCAAACCTCACTTTAGGCTTCTGGGTCCAGTTGAAAAAACATAAGATCAAGCATTAAGATCAGCCAAATATGAGTAAGACAGTCAGTAACACTACTGAAAAGAACTTTAAGATTTTTATTTCATTTTTGTCAGTGTTGCACAAGCTTCACGGCTTTTATCTTTGAGGAGAAAAATAGGAAAGGTAGCAATCACTTAAAACATGTGTCATTTTAATTTAAAGATTAAAATTAACTGTTAAGCACACTTAATAGCTGTAATGGGCAATACTGATGAAATGAGAACTATGAAGTTATATTCTTTAATATAATCTACTTAAACATGCAAAAATATTTGGTAGGGTTTGATTTCATTTTCATGCATTTTCCACTTCTGTGATTTCATTACTTCCAAGAGTGTTCACTATAATATACAGGCTGAGATAAATAATTAGATTCTGAAATGAAAACCAGCAGCTCTTCTGAAACAAATAAGAGTTTTGTCATCAGCTTCAAAGAGCCAGCAACTTAAGTCCTAACTGGCTAGGGGGTCGAAGTATCACCATATAAATATATTTCCTTTAATTTTAAAGGAAAGTAGCAGCTTCTGTTGCTCAGCTTCTCTCTTCTCACACCACCCTGAAGTTGTATAGAACCAAACTGAGAACTACAATTGGGTATATTTCATTTCCTCCACTAATAATATCACAGGATGACAATGAAAACACTAAAACCTTTGGCAGCTTATTTGTACCGTTATTCTGTTTTCTGCTTGTACTCAGCATCCTTTCTCAAAGTCAGCTCAAATGCCCTGACATGCAGAGCAGTCTGGAAGGAGAGGAACATGCAGTTCCTTCTCTCAGATAGTGTGTCATCTCTGTCAACATGACTGCCTCAGGTAAAGGCAGGAGTGAGGTCAGTCATCATGCAGATTACACAGTATTTATTGTTTAAATCTGAAAACAGTCCCTCTGTGAACTGTTCTTACTAATGGACTTCTCTTTCTGGTGGCAACACCAATTTCATTTACTCTGCTCTCTCTGTGGGCTTTGACAAATTTGTGCTTTCCATTATTTCCTGTAGCTCAGGATTCCCAGTAACAATATTCAGCTATATGGAAATCTAAAAGTATGTTGACTCTCTCAATCTGGTCTTCTCCAAGGGCCTCATCGTGCCAACTGCTTGGTTCCTCCTAAGAAATGTGGGTGCCATGGCTGACCATATTTCATAACAACTAAAAGGCTATGGCCTAAGTATGAAAAGTTAACAGAGGAGGGGAAAAACTAGACACGTCAGCATTAGAAGTGTAGTAACAGAAGGCAAGCATGTGAACACTTCAGCTTGAGTTGCCATATGAGCTGAAAAACATGGAGCTATTTTTTAGCCTTTCTTCCCTTCACCCTTCCGTCTGTTTTTCTCCTGCACAAGGAAAGCATGGCTTGGCCCATCTCCTTCTCCAAACATTTCTGTCTCCTAGCTAAGCCAACAATCATGAGAAGCCTGCAGGAATTACACAGGGTTATAGGAAAAAGAACAACTCAGGAGAAAAAACCCCAACAACTGATCATCCTAGCTCAAGTAGATGTTGCTGTTTGATTGTAAACAGTATTCATAGCAGGTCCTTCTTCAGCACGAGCTGGCTAGAATTAACTTTTCATTATCCTGCATGGCTCCTTAATGGCTGAGTGGCAGCATACTTGTGTGGTCTAGGAATGAAAATGTCTAATCTAGTCCAAAGCTGCATCTGCGAGGGGAAAGTCCACTGATTTGTACTTTTTAACTGGAGCTTTAGAGATGACGACATAGGCTACTCATTTAAATTTCATTAAGTTTTAAAGTATTCCACTAAAATTAATATAAAATAGCAATGATAGTTATCAATAACTGAATATTTAGATACATTATTGGAGATGTCCAATACCAATGTTTCCAAAATCTCTTGAATATATGGCTACTTTTTATATTTCTGGTTAAATGCTTTAATTTTGATGGAAATACATCCTTTAAAAGAGTATCAGCCTTTGAACAAACAGTAAGACTTTGTTTTTAACTAAATGAACTACCACTTGATTTTCCTAAAATAAGATCCTACAGAACTACAAAAAAGCAACATTATTGCTAATCTAGAAGAATTTGTAGAAGAATGAGAAAGAAGAGGGAAATCAGTTTTGATTTCACCAATCTGATTGGATGCAGGTCAGACAAACCTATTGCCAAAAGTCTAATGCTATCTGAAGCTGCAAAGCAGTGCAATGCCAGGTAATAGGAGAGGCCTCTTCTTCCAAAGGTCCACAAGCTAACGATGTGAATTGTTCTCATTTCCTATTCTTATAGGAAAGGAAGTGGGAGAAAGGAATGTAAAGCAGTAGAGAAGTTAGGAAAAAAAAGGAAGGAGAAGGTAGAAAAGCAGCACAATGCTAATAACAGGTATTCTGACAGGATGCCAACCCACCTGCATGTCAAAAGTACTGTAATGGTTTAGGCTTTAGTTGCTCAGTTATTTATTCCATAAGAAAAATCAAAATACAAATAATCAAAGCCATTCTTCCAATTTCAGTGCAAGATGTCAATGTAAGATGTCATGACATACTGAGTGACCACATGAATCAGTTATAATGATTATCCTTTTGTGTAAGTATGAGAGAGGGAGGAAGGCATCATCTTGCTTTCCAATCAAGAGTTCATGTTGCTGCAGTAAGGGATTTTTATTTTTTTTTGGAAAGCAGCAAGGATTGATCAGGAATGACAATCTGATTTCGTCTCCCTTACCTGATAGTCACAAGCTCTACAGTCTCTCCTGTTTTCAAAGTCCGTTTACCAATACTGATATTCTTACCAGTTCCCTATTCCTTTTGGGATACTGGTTCCTGACATCCTTCCACACACACCGTTTCAGATCATATCCTGACATACACAGACACGCCCTGGCATATACTATCTCATTATATCCCTCGAAAACGTCTCCCAAGAGTGGAGGTATAGTTATTTCAAAACATTCATTTTCTAAAAATGTACTTAATCCCCACTTCTCACCACTTTTTGTCACATTTCCACTATTCACCACATCCCTAGTTATTCCTCCGATACTGTGTAATTAATGTAGAGAACTAATAAGAGTAAAGTTACTCTCTCAAGAAGGCTTAACTCAAAATGCACTAGCCCATACTGAATAATTAAGGAAAAGCTTTACATAATTATATGTGCACATTCCGAGGGTGTAACTAACTGTTATAAAATTACTTCCTTTTTAGCTCAATTAAAACGAACAGGGGCATTCATTTTTGCCACTAGTTTCTTTTGGGCTGCATACAGCAGCCGTTTTAACCACAGAAGATTCTAGTTTAGTACCAAAATGATGCAGTAGTATTAACACTTCCACCTGGTTCCTGTCACTTGGAAGTACAACAGGGTGCATCATACAATATGAAGCACTTCCTTGGAGCATGCAGCGAATGCTGCTGTAGGCAAGATCTCAGCAGGCTGTCCTTATTCTCAGGACAGAGGAAAACTGTATTGCAAAGTAACTGATCCAAGTGGCAAATAGGCACATGGGAAAACTTCACCCTCAGAAAACGAAAACTAAATATTTCATGTTTGTAACACCAACTTTGTGACTGCATAAAACAATGAACACAAGCATCAAAAAGGTCTCCGGTATGACTGAAATAAAAGCACTTGATGTGCCATGAGTACAGCAGAAAGGCAGAGGGAAGAACAGGCAACAATCACACACCAACTGTCTGAACATTCTTTCCCTATACTTGGATATATTTATACGTACATATATATATGGGAGCCTAGTATTTCCATACCATACCTTTTGTTCCACCTTTAGAAACTGAGCAAGTTCTTCAACAGTAAGATGATCCTTTTTGTCACTGTAACTTAAGAGCAACAAGTAGAGATCTCGACGTAAGGACATCATCTTGTAAAACACTGAAAATTCTTCAAAATTTAGGGTTCCTTGGTTCTCATCTGTGTCTGCTTCCTAAGAGGTAAAGAAACTCAGATAAGCATGCTAAACACAGGTGAATTCAGGGAACAAAGCAGAACAGGTTTTACATACACAAACAGAAATCTAATAAATTCCAGTCTGCAAGATTCTGTTCAGACACAAATTCCAGTAGCAAAAAGAACTCCAAAATTATAATACCATCTATTGGATTTTTGGTAAAAACAGTTGCCACACTAAAGCTAACAGTGTCTTATGAAAGTCTCAATTCCATCCTTAGTTTTGAATTTGTTACCCCTGTTAAAAGGTTCACCCTGGGCTTTATTCTGATCTCTGTTACTCTCCTGTATGCCCTGCAGTTATCCTGGATTAAAATATAGCAAGGAACATAATAATTTCACCCGTGGCTTCCCCTAGCAACAGGGTCTTGCATTTTAAAACATTCAGGACAATATCAGAGTCTTAAACATACGGTAATTCAAACTGCAACACACTCAGCCCCCTGTCAGCACTCTGTAAAGGGGACAACTCTGAAGCAGCAATAAGACTCCACACCAGAACATGCCAAATAGCCCCAGTCTTGATGGCAGGTTTTGTTTATCCTCAGAGGTAGGAAGAGAAGAAAACAGTACTTAAAGCATGTTAATACAAGCTTTTTACTGTGAACATCTGCCTAAGAGGATTGCTTTGGATTTTCAAAACAAAGAATATATTCTGGAGAACTGCTGTCAAACATTATGTAGGTCTCCACAAAAAACAAACTTCATGGAAACTACAACTCTAGCCAAGTTTGAGGCTGTAAGCAGATAATGGAGACAAAATTAAATAAATGTTTAGAAGTATGCTATTGTTCCCATGAAAAATGCCCTTCATTCATAGCTGTATATAGTTTTTTCTTCTCTGTAGTTATAAACCCCCTTGCCATTCTCAAGTCATGTTCTGTTAAAAATTATGTGTTCTGTTCAGGTCAGAACACCTTCTGTGCAGAGCCCTTTTAACACTGACTTGGCTTTGAACCTATGGCCTTGCCTCTACAGTCATACACCAAATACAAGTTCTTCTCCAGATGGAGAACATCCTAATGCTGCTATCACTTCTTCCTTCTCAAGAATGCTCTTCCAATTGGGTGCCCAACCTCACTTCTACAGAAGAGGAACAGATGTAATGAACACATCTCTGACCTGGCTTGCTTTCCAAGGATCCAGTTCTACTTTCCCCTTCACATAAAATACTCCACTTAACTTTGAAGCACATCTTAAAACAGGAAACCATCTTTACTCTTAGTACATGCACGCAACTAAAGTAGCAGCCCCATACTCTACTCCCAGGCGCAGGATCTGGACTGCGCCATAGGCCCAGGCATCCCCGTGGATCACAGGTGCTCCTCCAGGCTGGGGGCTGTTTGCACCATGTCTGAACTGTAATGCCAAGCCACATAAACAGTACCACCTGGGCAGATTGAGTGTAAGAACAGGGCAGAGTAGTTAGATACAGGGGAAAGGATTTGTCCCACCATTATTCTGCTACACCCTTTATCCTGCATTAAGTCCTGGAAGTCCATAGAACTGCTATCACAAAGCACTGCTCGTGGGGTAAGACCTTTAGGATTCAGCCCTGAATGACTAACAGTAAATAAACCTTCAACACGCCTTTTCTACTCAACCTTAGTAACTTTAACCATGTCTGTGAGGTCTAGGACATTAACTCGGGTATAGGCTGGCAGCAACCACAGCAAAATAAAAATAAGTAAAGCATTTTATTTTTAACCAAAAGTTGCCTCTGATTATACAAAGGCCAATGGTTTCTAGAGCTCCCTAGCACTCACTCCTAGACAGTTTAACAGCGCAGACAGAACTACGTTATTTTTCCTCTCAGTACATGGCTTCACAACTCCCTCCCTCTCCTGCAGCAGTCAACAGTATGAGCAAAACCTGAGGATCTCAGGGACCTGCATTTCATTACACCTTGTGAGTTCTAATATCATCTGAGCTATAAACTCAGATCACAAAGTAAGCTGAGAAGAAAATAATTCCCAGCTATCTGGTATTGAATTGGATTTTAAAGCATTTCATATCTATTGCATATCTTAAATGATATTTATCATTTATGGGAACAAGTACAACCTGAATTCATTACCGCAACACAACGCCACCAGTTTCCACACATCTCACATCTTTGGGGAGTAACTTGAAAACTCCATAGATGTATCTCTAATGTGGATTTTAAGCCAGAAAAACAAATTACTTCTGATCATAGAAGATTCCTCAACTTTCCCATGTTTTATAGCAAACCAGCTTTTGGCTGCCACTGCTTCTGAAGAGTTAAGAAAAATTTATTTTGCTCTTCATTATGTCCTTGGCTTATCTTTTCTTTCCTAAAGTCAATACTAGGGCTGGTGGAAAATGGTAACTGCTTTCAGACAGAAGTAAAAAAGTTATTCTGGCTAAGTAAGAGGAAGCTTTTTTAAAAAAAAAAAACAACCAACCCTAATTACTTTCATAAAGCTAGTTTCTATTAAATATTTTTCCATAAAGGAAATGAAAAAATATTTCAATAGAAACAGAGTAACTTCACTGTCCATCAATGCCAGCATAGAACAATTCAGTTCAGAGATGAAAACAATCATGCATCTGAAAAAGTAATATTAATAAATTGTCTTCTGTGTGGTTCATATCATGAAAACAATGTTCTGATGCATCTTTGTCTACAAAAAGGTTAAGGATCAAAAAAAGTCTGTGAGGTGCTGGAAAGGACAGAGTTTTAAGCCCCAACTTGCAAATCCTATTCTGGATCTGTCCAGAGATAGACCATAACTGGCACTATCTTACCACAGCAAAACTGTGAAAGAATACCAACCTGAAACATCTGCCGGACCTTCCTGCGGGGCAGGTTAACATTTAGTTTATGCATCAGCTGGTGAATCTCTTCAATATTCAGCAGGCCATCTCCATTCTTGTCAGCCTCCTCAAAGGTTTGTTTGACCCAGCTACAAATTTGTCAAGGAAAAGTAGAAGAGTGCAATTTCCTCATGGCAAAGGGAGGCAGAGCAGTTAGGAGGTAAGGGACACGACTCAAATTCAGGAGAACAAGTCTCTGCCACAACTTTTCTGGGCAGGGAAATAATCCTCCTTAGCAGAGGACCTTAACATCGTCCAGGGATGAAAACATGAGCATTATTCAATCCAGTCTTCACAAACAAGTTTTCCTCAAGACAGCGCTTCCAGGCAAAACATTTGCATTAAGACTTCCCACAGCCTGCATTACTATTATCAGGGGTGCACTGTTAAATAAAGTTATTGATGGCAAAGATCTGGTGCTATCTACACACACTCATGCCAAACCAAAGCATTTTTACTACTGTGCACCCTGTGGTACAATCTGCTATTGCACCTCCCGCCTGAGGGAACTAAGACTGTTATATTTGACGGCTGGTGGTTTTGTGACACAGCTCAAAGGAATCGAGCTCAAAAGCCATCTGTATCAGGGATAACGTTAATCTAGAGTAAGAGGATAGAATAAGGAAGACTGTGAAACCAGCCCAAGCACATGATTATCGGCCTCTGGTTTCTGTAAGAACCTCATTAAAAATTAACCATTCTTGGTTTTCCATGCTCTCTCCTCCAAGACTGTCACACAGTTCTTTCACCTGTATCTATGTAACTCTTCCATCTCTGGACAAGTTCTTTGTCCACCACTTTATCTCCAATATCTCTGTCCTCACCTTGTGTCATACTTCCAGAGGGCATCAGAATTTTAAGTGGCACAGAGAAAACGGATAGCACCCATACATTTGCTTTTTCTCCCCTCACAAGTGCAAAATGGTACCAAATAAAGGCAACAGCTGTCAAATTCAGAAAACAAGAGACAATTCTTCACTCAGCATACAGCTCATTTTTAACATAACCTTTCTTGGGATGTTCTGCAGTTTTACATGGGTTTGAAGTGACACTCAACTAGCTTTTCTCTCCCTCTTCTCCCCTTCTCCCACCCCCACTACAGCTTCATTCAAAAGCTTAAAACTGGTACTGGTTTGGACTATAATTTACAGGGTCACAATACCAGGCCCTTCACACTCTCATTTCTGCTACTAGCTTCTCTGAGTTTTTAAATACTGCTGAGCTTGCTCCAACACCATCTTCCACTTCTCCCTCCATTCTGCTTGAATTTCTCTGCTTTCTAATCAGTACCTTTTACCCCCTCTTTGCACATATATCCCTTTGCAGCTTTTGCCAAGTTCTTATGCTAGCTGGAACTGCTACAGGGTCATTCTGTCTGCAGTCTCCCAGCTGCCCCTTTCGATACCAGAAACAAGACTTGAAGTGATGTTTCACCAGTAGAGAACATGCAGCTTGGAAAAGTTGTAGATAAATATAGCAAACTGAGTATGTGTGCAACAGAGCATGCAATATATCCCCTATCTTGTATCAGAATTAAACACTGGAAATATGAATTAAAAAAAACCTGATGTACATTCTCCAGAAGGAATATTTACAAGTGACCAGCGTAGATTTACATGTGGCAGAAGAGACAGGTTACAATTTTAATCAATATGGGCTTTGTTGTTTGTTGGTTCATTGTTTTGGGGTCTTTTTGGGGGGAGGTTTTGGTTTGAAGAGTGTTCTTTGTATTTAACATAGAATAAATCATAGAATGGTTTGGTTTGTAAGGGGCCTTAAAGATCATGCAGTTCTAACCCCTCTGCCACAAGCAGGGACATCTTCCACTAGACCAGGTTGCTCAAAGCTAGCTTAACGTACCCGTCAGCACTGTTGTGAAAACAAGCACATCAAGGAAATATTCGATGGACATGATCTTTACAAGAAGTTCATTTTGGTTGCTAGGTTGCAACAAACATTTAAGGAGCTTTAAAGATTTGTGCTCCTGACAGTCAATGGAGGCTGAGAGGCAGACACATACCTGACATACACTGACCAAGAGAAACAGAGATGGCAAGGAATTACTAGTCAGTTTACTTGAAGACTCCTAAAAGCATTGAGTTTCACCTGTGCAGAGGCTAATGAATTCAAGTTTTCAATTAGCAGTATCTTGAAAACAGTCTTCTAATGGACTTTGCAATTTGCAGAAGAAGAATGAAAACACAACTGGGCAAACAGAAGATGACAAAAATCCTGAAATCATGATGGGGTTAGTATTTACTGAGATAACTAGAAATGACTGTTTTGACTCTTCAACAAGAATTTCACTAACAAAATGCAAGACTATCCCCTGACTTCAATGCAGCTTAATCCAGTCCCTAAGGCACAGCTGATGTTTTACTGCACAGGTAAGTGCCCATGTCAAACCCATTACTTGAGCTTTCATCACAATCAATGCAAGGTTTTTGGTCACTTAATGGCAGGTGAAAGGATACCCTATGCTGAAGTCACTAAAAACCGAAAGAAAATACTGAATCAGAAGCTGGAGCTCAGGCTTATAAAAGGATACTGATCGTGTGTTCTCTGTCGCTTAGCAAGTGAGTCCTCATCACTTATTCCAGCCATCAAATATTTCAGTCCTGTGATCCAGGTGCGAGCTTCCTCTGGGTTAGATGTAATCAGATCCAGTGACTCCATGTGGTTGCCATGGTAAATGGTAAAGCAACAGCTCGGGTCAAAGTTCCCCTCTGCATGGCGGTGGAAGATTTCAGACTGCCGGCCTTCGGTGACTTTGTAAATGGAATCAATGACAACTGTTGGGAAAAGGGAAAACAAAAATTGAAATGTTTGGATATTCACCCAACCTCTTTCTGGTTTTAGCTATTTTGCATTATTCAGACAAGATGTCACTAAACATTTGTTACTATTACATCCCAAAGTGCTTTTTGATTTCTAGGTTTATCCTCGCTTTTTCCAAGCCACACGTACAGTGCAGCTGCCTTGAAGGAAGGCCAGTGCATGTACAAGCAGATTACAACAGAGCTCTGAGTGCTCCTTGCTACATCAGAGGACTGCAAGCTACTCAAAGCGGAGCACAAAGAGACAGATACCAAGTGTCTTCCACCAATGAGTGAAACACTCTGTAGCTCCAAAGGGACTGCTCCCATAACAGCTGTGCTCTCTAGAGCAGGAAGACAGGGATACCTTAGCATAGTGAAGGCTCCTAGTGCCATGCCACCTAACAGCTATGCTGTTCGACACAACAGCTCTTAGCCACCACTCGCTGGGCCAAAAGCACCAACTGTCACTGTCTGTAGCCTTCCCAATTGCTTGTTTTTAATCTCAAGCCTCCTTGACAGTCCTGTGAACTTCTAGTTGTTACTTTACTCAATAAACCACTAATTTCAATTTCCAATTTAAAACAGTGCAGCAGAAACATTTCAATAAGAAATAATGCTACACATTAAGATTTAATAATGTCTAAGAAAATTATCACAGTTAGGATTAAGAAACCTCAATCTAAACTTTTCTAGATTCTGTATTTAAACTTGTGGTGCATATATTTAAAATAGTTCTGCACAGTTATCTTCAGTTTGCTCATAATTCATATAGACCTATGAAAAATGTCAACATCAGACTGAACTACACTCCCTTCCTTTCATAATTCTTAACTTTTAGTAGGTGGTTAAACTCTACTCTTGGAAATCTTCACGTATCACATCACATTTGAAATAAGCATCAAAAAGCATTTATTTAATCAAGCCCTGTCTAGTTCACATTTTAATACTGAACTGCCCCAGAAATTAAAAGAAATATTAGAAGTTTACTTTTTGCTTTTTCGCTTTTTCTGGATGGTCTCCATCTAATGCAGGTCCTGTGCTCATCCAGGTAGAAGAGACGAACTAGCCCCTTGGTTCCACTCTTCAGTTTAACCATCTGAGTCCCAGATTGCATAACACTCATGCATCTTTCAACTGTGAAACAGACAGAATAAATTCAACTAAATGGCCATCTAATTCCACTAGTAAAATGACTTACTGGCTTTCTAACATATGCCAAGCATATCACATTTTCAACTTGCACCTTTAATGACAGAAACTAGTCACTGCTGTGTGAGACATACTATTTCTTCTTCACTGGCTTTTCCATACAGGGAAAAAAATAAATAAAATTTAAATTAATTTGTCAAAACACTTTCACAACAAAGGAGGCAAAGAAAACTTTACCATACATTGAAGCTCCTTTGGGTTTGGTAATCTTTCAGCCTGTACCTTGTGCTTTTGACACTGTTAGAATTGATAACAGATTTATAAATACTCAATCCCTCCTCCCTACCACACACATTTACACTCTCTCCATCCTGCTACTAAATTTTGAGCACATACTGTGGTGACTTCCTTTTATCCACCCATCCCATCCAGGATGATAGGGCTTTGTTTCTGTATATTTTGACTAAAATACACCCATCTCTTCCATTTCATCTCACATCTTCCCTCCTACAGTTTTCCAAACAGTAGGATCAAGATAACATTTCCACTTGATCCATGCTCTTAAATTACATTCTCCTATCCATTCACAGCCTCTCCTCACTTGATATCACTCCACATTCACCTCCCAGATGGTTTGTTTACACTCTGGCTGGCTCCCAAATGCTATCTGGGTCTGTCTTCTTATCACCCTTCTGCTTTTTGTCATTTCTCTCCAATACTCCCTTGGTATCACAACAAAGACCAATACACCCTCTCATTCCTCTCTGCCAGAACTAGGATTTATTTTCTGAGCTCTTGACACCTCTTTAGCTCCTACAGCAAGTGGCACAAGCAGCAGTGGTCTCAGCCCCAGCTGAAACCCAACAGTGCTCTCATACACCAAAACATGTTATGGTGGTTCTGCTCAGTTCACCTCCACAGCAGATGTGTGACCAGAGCATGTCTTCCAGCAGAGTCACACAACTCTGAAGCTATCAGTGAAGGAAAACAAGCCTGATGCTTCTTCTGAAGTGCCTCTGGGGCAGATGCAGTCAGAACAGCATCCCAAACATCAGTCAAATATGGGACAAAAAGCCATCATTGCTGGACCAACTTCCTCCACTCCCTCATACTAACAGAATCGGCAAGCCAAACTCCACATCAAATGAACTGCATCAGAAGCAGTTTTTGCCAAGTTGTTTTTCTCAGAGGAAAGCGAGGTTGAGAACCAAACTCTTCTGAAAGCATCAGATGCATGAGGGCAGTAAATTTTTCTTTTATATGTCCATAAATACATGGCCTTCCCTGAATGTACGTAATATATACCAAATGAAAAGGTGGCTTTGGAAGTTCTTTAATATGAGCCAGAAAAGTGCATAAATCAAGCCAGAAATAGATGTTATGCAGTATCCACATACTGACTGTGGCAGTTTTAACATGTATCTATCTGAAGATATGCAAAATACCAGGAAGACAAGCACAAGGGATGGAAAAGTCAGAACCCTAAAGAAGAAAGATTAACTGAAGCAAAACTAAATCTCTAAAACTTACTACAGATGTACATACATGCACACCTTCTCTTGGCAAACTGAGCTTTTCGTTTTGGAACTGCGTTTAGATCAAGTTTGCCTTGGATTCATGCTTAACAAACAATAATTGTCCTCTAGCACAGGAATAAGGTTCTCCATAAAAAAAAGTTGTACTAGTGTGTGTAGATGTGCAAATCTGTACTGCTACATTGGCCTAGCATACAAACTTCAGACACATTCTTATTTCACTATTACAATGATCAATACTATTAGAGCGATCAGTTGCAACAGTGTTTTATCTCAGGAAGAGGTTTAGCAACAAGCTATTCAACACAAAGTCTGCTTCTTTGCACCCAAGGCTATCAGATATTATTAAAAGTCTTACAAAAATAACTAACTCTCACATAAGCCTTTATTATTATCAGCTCAGTTATCATAGGATAAAAAAAACAACCAACAACAATCTGGCTTCACCAAGATGCTGAAGACAGATAACGCAAGGCAGAAGAAAGACGACTACATTACTGTAAGAAAAGCAGGAAAAGGGCCACACAGATAATTACAGCCAACAAAGCCATGGGGAGAAAAAAAAACCCAACCCAAAACCTCTTCACTGTTTCAATTGCCTAATAATTTCTACATCGCATTTGTAATCGTTATAGATGAATTTCACATAGACATTTTCAGATAGACTTCTGAATCAAAGCTACAGGGAAGAGATTTTAAAACACTTTTTTTCAGAGTGGAAGAAATCCAGTTCCTGCCAAATATCTCAACATTCTCCATTTCTCAGATGCCATCTGCAATAAGCCCACTGCTCAAGTAAGCACCATCTTTTCTGCTTGCACTTTTCCATCAGAAAATACCACCAGAATGAAAACATCTAAAGAAGAATAGTAAATATGTAAGAGTTCACTGCATCATCCCTACCGTGTAGGTATTAATAACAGAAAGAATCCAATTCTACAGAACGGACTAGAGTAATGGAAATACCACATCATTCATAGGCCCATTTCATTTCAGATCTGCGAACCATTTACAAAATACACCATCCTCTCCTTTAAGCTATTTATAAAATATAAGTACACAAAGAAAAAAAAACTTCTTTTTCAAATCTATTCCTAATATGCTAATTTCAGTGTCTGGCCAGACATTCACAACAGAGAGACCACCACACATTAGCATCTGAATATGGTGAAGTTTTGAAGAGGTAGCTCAGAATAAAGCTCCAGAAGAGCAATTCAACAATGTTTTCACTAAGGAATAGAAAAACTCATTCCAGAAAAACATTTAATCCTCTAGATAGACCATGAATACTGAGTAAATGAAGCAGCTCCTCGATGCAGAAATTTGAGAAAGCAAGACATATAACGGTTTCCATTATATGGTATTTTTCTTACACAAGGACTAGCTATGCATTTTTTGCCTGAAGTCTGAAAACTAATTTAATGAAACTAGAATACAATATAGTTTATGTATGACAAGAACAAGGCAAGTTAATCTGGAAATACAAAATGATTAAGCTTATGCATTGCATACTTAAAGCTTTACTTTCAAATGGAAAAAAAAAAAAAAAAAGGTGAAATCTACAGTCATTTCTGTTTCCAGCACTATGCAAACTTATTCTTGACAGTCTAAAATCACCACAACAGACATCCTGTAGTTTAATGGGTTTTAATAATACTGAAATCCAGTCTATTTTTTCCTGCCAAAATAACCATTTAAAGCTAAACGGACCTGAGTTCAAAGAGCATTTTTTGGTTTCTAGTTCAAGTGATGATAACCATTTTTAGTAGTACACACATCTCCTTTGCAGAAGGAGCTGCTTCTCTATTGAACAATAAGCCAGATACAAACCCATTTGCGCAAGCTGGACTTTTTCGGAAGTGGCCACACTCCCCAGCACATGGCAGACCTCTGAAGCCAGGAGGAAAGCCATCCAAGCTCTTGGAAAGTCCAGATGTTACTTGAAATCTTGCACATTAGGCAGATACTATTTATTCTACCTGACAGCACAGCTCCTTGCCGCTGAATAAATCAAGCTGCTGCCTGGGAACACTAAGCTGGAATTCTGACCACTAACCATATGCAGTCTTAAGTTCAAAAACCGCTCTAATCCACCACAAATCAGCCAATGCTACTGTCCATCCAGCTCTGCTCTAATCTATCCCCATGTGCAATCAGGTCTTTAATAACCAGGGACTAGCTTAGCACTGGACCCTGCAAGAATTTCTCACACTAAGTTACAGCTTTGTTCACAGGTTTAATAGTCATAGCCTGTTATTCAAGAGTTTGCAATTAATTTGGTTTAATTCTCGACAGTCATAGTCATAATGTGTAGATTTGCTTGCTGCTGTGTTTCACAACAAAGCCTTAAGGCATGCAGGATCCTTTAGTTGATTCTAGAAGGAAAATATTTACAGAATTAAAACATTACACCTGGCATCACTTTCAGTAAAATAGAAATGCACTTTGCTATACAGGGCACATCACAGCAGTGAAACAAACATCCACTCCCCACAGAACATGTTATCCAAGATTAAACAAACATGCACAACTGAAGACAACAGGCAGGCACCATGCAGGAGAGGTACTGGTGCCCAAGGAATGTTGGCTGGGATGCAGCTGGGGTATTTGGTGCTCACCAGCTGCCCCATCACCCACACGTGACAGCCAACACTGCATCAAGGTTTTCTGGGTTATCCCAACTCCATTGCTTTTATGGACTTAATATTACAGCTGACAAAACAAAAAGATTAAATAAGGTATAAAGATCATTACTAAACAATGAGAAGTATCATTATGAAAGAGGAGGAGCTGTGTTTCTAAATTATATGCAGTAACTGCACCAAGCCAACATTAAGCTTGAGGAAATAAAAGAAAGCCATAAAACACATAAGTTACTTTTTCAACTGCAACATCGGGTCTTCTCCCCCACATTCAAGTTTTTTTGGTTTTACTGTACACTTTGCAGATATATCGTTTGCTCTCTCTTCAGAGAGGGAAGAACCAAAAGACCCTCAGGTACCACCACATGCTGTTCCCACCCACAATTGCCAGGACTTCTGCAGACAGCTCCTGTGATTCACTGTACTGCAGCATCCCAAGAGGTTCAACATAAGGTAACTGCTCTTACACTATGGAAATCACAGTTTATCTACTTCAGTAATTCTCTTCAGTTTTCAGATTTAAACCCTGCCCCCAAATTCCAGAAACTGAACTCTAAGTGAGGCTGTTATACAAAAGGTAGGTGGTTGGTAGTTGACAAAGGAGCCTCAGCATTCTCCCATCACTGTAATCATGTACTTGGATCCAGTTTGGAATCCATTTTTTACTTACATTGATGCATATTCCCAGAAGCAGGCACTGAAGTAAAAAAAAAAAAAAAAAAGAAAAAAAAAAATGAAAAAAATCAACCCAAACCGCCCCCACACTCCTGAACTAGAGAACAGTATGAAATTAAACTGTCATGATCCT